TGCAGTTCTAAGCCACTCCCAGATATAAGCATCTCAGTTGAAATAATAGCTCTTTACATGCATGATACAATGCTTAAAGAAAAATTACAGGCACTGAGAATACTTCATCTCAATGAAGTGATCTAGGTGCCATGTTTTAACCCTACAACTGAAAACATTGCTGTTGTGTAGGAAAGGCAATATTTTCTTTGCAGTGTTAACCTGACAATTGTGTCTTTCATACAGACAGCCAGTAGTGGTGCTTCCGTGAAGTAGCAGAGTAAAACTCGGCTATTTCAATTGGATTGCCTTAGAGAGACCATGTTTTTGGTGTAGTGCGGTGGTTTAGCATGCATGCGCCTCACAATGCTCTCCTTTGGAAAAGCACTGGATAGGCTGAGACTGACACTGCGCGTAGTAAATGTAAGTAAAATCCCATTTTTAACCCTGGCAGCGCTGGCCTGGTGACTAGGGCACTATAGCATTAGTAAAACATATTTGTATTTCTAACGCCCTAGTGTTCCTTTAAGCCTGACATGTCCTCCAGGGGTGAGTGCCTCGTCTTTGTTTTGTATATTCTATTTTTTATTTTTACAGTTAGTTCTGCAGTATTTGATCCTGGGAAATTAATAATAACATTTACAATGCACTGAATGCAAAACTTTTTTAAATTAAATTTAACCGGAATACACTTGCAACTTGCAAAACAAAAATGAAAAAATAAATAAATGAGAAAATCGTTCATGAATGACTTTCAAGACCCCCGTGTTTAGAATGTTGTAATACTGGTAACGATCACTATTACTATGTAAGAGAGCTGTCAGATGGAAATAGACCAGACAATGAAGTCATAAAAAGTAAACAGCGACCAGTTTTTAATAATCTCCTTGTTTCCATTTTCAAAAGATGGCAGATGATGCTTCCACTATGCATTACTGTTTTTTACAAAAGGACACGAACAGTCTATCAGTCACAGCTTTTATAAACATGAGGAAACAAATACAAACCATATATTTAACGATTTGTGCTAAAAGAAAAATGGATCTGCCTGCTGTTCAAATACAGTGGAAACAATTGAAAATGATTAAACACACTGTGACAAACAACAATGTGTAACATAAATACAAAATACAAATAAAGTGTCAGGAAAGACTCAATAATAATAAACTGGAGTTTATGAACTAATCTCTGAAATGTAGCGAATTAAAAAAAAATCTCCAACTCAGCTACAGACAGTTATTTTATCTAACTATTATAATCGCTTTTCCAATTCACTGCAATTTAAGGTTTAGGGAATTAACCTCATTGATATCTTAAAAGAATACTCCAAACACCATAACCACTACAGCACATTAAGCTTCTTAACTGTGGTCAATGGGTGCCATTCTCCACCTCCATTAGAGTTAACAAAGCCAAACGCTCCAACTTAGACTCTTCCACTAACTCTCCAGAGTTAAGCGCAGTACAGGGCTAGTTCATTGGCTGAGAGCGGCAGCTGATTGCTCTCAGCCAACCAGTTAAGACCTGCATTGCTACGGTTTACTACGCCAACTGTGTCAGCTGTAATGGAGGCAGGGAGTGGTGCCTGGTGAACCCAAAATAAGAAGTCAAAATGTTCTAAAATGGTTTCACTACTTACAATGGTGGGGAAGTTAGGGCAATCCTGGCACCATAGCCACTACATAACTACTACAGCATGCTGCAGTGGTTGTGGTGTTTGGAGTGTTCATTTAATATAGACATTATAGCATTTTGTTTGGCAGTTAATGTTATTTATTTAAATTTTTAGAGTTACTAAGATATCTAACATAAGAAAAAATGAGTATCCATCAACTAATCCCAGAAGGAGATAATTTACCACCAACTAACAGAGAATGTAATATGCACATGGTATTATCAGACTAACAGAAATCTTTTCAAAAATCTTGGAAAAATGCGTCCACACTAAACTATGTGTGATGGGAATATTAGCAACAATCAAATTATCTGACCCCTGATAAGTCAGGCTTTTGTCCAAATCACTCATTTGACTTGAAAGTTTGCAATGACATCCAAAATGCCATGGAACAAGGAGACTTAACTGGAGCTACTTTCCTTGATTTTGCCAAGGCCTTTGACACAGTAGACCATGGCATTGTTTTGCAAAAACTTAAAAACTCAGGCATTGGTGATCGTCAGTTAACCTGGTTTCAATCATATGTTTCAGACCGATTGCAATATGTGGCCATTTCTGACAGCGACTCCCTCCCTCTTCCAGTCACGCGTGGTGTTCCCCAAGGCTCCATACTCGGCCCCCTGCTATTCACATTATTTATAAATGATCTGCCTAACGTCTGCAAATCCTCAACTATACACATGTATGCAGTCAACGCTGTAATCTATGCTAGTAAACCCGAGCTACTGCAGCTTAAGGCTGTGCTCCAAAACCAATTCACAGAGGTAGAAAAGTGGATAGCGGATAACAAACTCTTCCTAAACACTGACAAAACTGTTAGAGTGATCTTTGGAATTTTACCTAAATTACGTAAACTACAAAATTAACAACTGTGTATCAGAACAAATTCAAATAGCACACTGACACTTCAAATTTCTAGGTTGTTGCTAGGCCCCAATCTATCCTTTAGCCTTTACATTGAAAAAATCTCTTCAAAACTTTACCCAAAACCAGGTGCCCTGTACAGAAGCAAATCCTGCCTAAGCCCTACAGTAAGGAAACAGATAGTGCAACAAATGCTAAAGCCAGTCATTGATTATGGGGATGTAGTGAATGCACCTGCATTGCAAACCCACCTTAATAAATTTAATACGTTATATAATTCATTCTGCCGCTTTAAACTAGAATGTAATTACTTTACCTATCACTGTCACATGTTAAAAGAGCTAAACTGGCTATAGCTAGAATCCCGACACACTCTTCATCTTTCAAGCCTTGTGCATAAGAGCTTTTCTGGGAAGCACCCACCCTACCGAAGTAGAATGCTCTCCCCAATGGCAGAGTTGCCCTCCCGCACTCCCTCTCCCTTGTCTTCTCTCCGGCTCTCCCTCGCTCTCCCCTGCAGGGCCGGCGCTATCCATGCACAAGTCCTGCTATGTGCCTTCACAGATCAGAGGGAAGATCAGAGATCTCCCTTCCGGCCCACAGGTACATTTACAGCCAGCAGGAGGGGGGCAAGAAGAAGGACCCGGGGGATCTCAGCCTGCAGCAAAGCTCCGAATCTCGCAAGAGTGAACTCTAGCCAGAGCTGCAGGCTAGTGTTTACTCCCAGCTGACCACCAAGGTTTCTCCACTGGAGGGTTTGCAGGAAATGTCCCCCCTCCCTATTAAAGGTAAGAAGGGAGGGGGGCTTATAAAATGTAATCATTTCTTAATAAAAAAATAACAATACATTTGATTTGCTCCCACCTGCCCCAAAACACAATACCCACTCAGAGCACTCCTTACTGCACCCCCTCAAACACACATAAACA